CACACACGCACACACACACACACACAATAAGCTCACTAACCCTACACATACATGTGGGGGGTGCCGGCACGAAAGTAGAAACACAGATTAACGTGAGAAAGATGTGATGTGAAAGAATAAAGCCGCGGCGAGGGAATCAGAGGACTGGATGGATTGTGGAGAGGGAGGCGTGGTTTATCGATGTAGGCCAACAAAAGCATCGCAGTTCCTTGACAGCAGCGGTTTCTTGGGACCAACTAAGGCAGGCGCCGGCTCTTTGTTTGGTGCAAACTTTTAGTCCCACAGCGGGATTTAATATTCTTGGGATTTGGGAGGAGGAGCCGATGCTTTCCGGATACTAATTTCTACCATCATCTTTCGCCATATGCTCTGCTGTGTTTGATAGAGTCCACCTGCTGTTTCTTCTTTTAAACCTGCATCTTTCTACTCTTTGATTTGAAGCTTTCTGACAGTCATGAGAAGTTTAAGGCTGCATACCTTTCTATTTCTCTTTGATGTATCTCTTTCTTGATGCTGCAACAACCCGCTGAGATAATTTCAGTTCTGGCTAATCTAATGTAAACATTTGCGCACAAACACTTGCAGGTTTACACACACATGCACTTATCGCCGGGTGCCGTGGGGTCAGCGTGCAGCTTAGGGCAGCATTAGTCAAGACACACAATGCAGCGCACAACTAATGCCGGCAAACGAACACACACGCATACACGCTCATTGACTTGCATGCACGCCCAACCATCAAAGGCAGTGCAGAAGAGCCAGGATTAGAAAGCTTTTGTCTCGAAGTTTCATAATGACCCAATGGGATAAACTCAGTGTTTGAAAAATGGGGAAAATGGAGAGAGAATCATTTCAAAGGTTATTTGTTTCCCTGCGCTCTTTAAATTCCAACAGTTTTCTCTCTTTCGTTTAAATCGATTGTGTGAATGGCTTTCTGTTTCTTTTATGGCTTCCCTCCACACGAAGAATCCTGCTGTTACTAACATACGGTAGCAATAAATACGATTAAAGATTACATAACCTTGAGTAGGTTAACTGGCTGATAAGAAGCTCCTGTCATGTGTGTATGTTTATGTTTTTATGAGGTGGTGGGACGTCTGCACATATGAAGCTTCTAGAATAATCAGTAAAGATTGCTTCTTACATCAGACAGATTAGTTATGTAAACTGATGAAATGGCAAAAAACAATAGCATAACTGCAATTGTCTGTGAAGGTTCTCAGTCATCCAGGTCATCGTAGTCAACTGCAATTGATTACAGAGACGATAAGAGAGCTGAGATTTAACTATAGAAGTACATTTACTGTAAATGTGCTGCACTATAGTTCTGTTTTACAGGACAACAATGTTATATTTACACTGATCAGACATAATATGATGATCACTGACAGGTGAAGTGAATAACACTGATTATCTCTTCAACTTGGAGCCTTGTTAGTTTGAAATATTAGGAAGCAAGTGAACATTTTGAACATTCCCAAGGAACCAAATTGTGAAGGCAAGATGACTGGGTCGAAAGCTGTAGCTCTTGTGGGGTGATCTATCAGAAACCAAAGAAGGAACAGTGGTGAACCAGCGACATGGTCATGCATGGACAAGGATTACTAATGCACGAAGGCTGACCCGCGTAGTCCGATCCACCAGACGAGCTGCTGAAGCTCAAAATGCTGAAAACTTGAACGCTAATTCTGATAGAAAGGTGTCAGAATACACAAGACTTAAAGGATCTGTTGCTAACATCTTGGTGCAGATACCACAACACATCTACTGTCCACGCCTCGATGGGTCAGGGTCGTCAAAATGTTATGCCTGATCGGTGTACTTTAAAACTATAGTTCCTAGATGATAACCCTTAGACTCGGTCCTCTTGGTTTACTTGGTCTTTGATTCTTTTGTTAATTCTTAGATTTTTTTCAAATTTTGCTGAAGTTTCTCTTCCACGTGACTGTTGCGTTTCTCCACTCTGTAACCAACTTGTGTTTGTGAATGTATTCTTGGTCCTTCTTTGAGTTACTCCCAGATTGATTTGGAAGTTTAGTGCTTCATGTGGCTCTGTGTTTTTATTCCACTCTGTTGTTTTCCCTCCCCTCGCTAGTACCTGTCTGACTTTACCTGTTCCTTCCTTCCTAGTTTGTATTTAGTCTGTGGCCTTTTCTCATTTTCCTCCTCGTCTCCTTTGTCATCCTGTCTGTGACCTGGAAATCCATTACAAAATGTCTCAATTTCTAAAATAAATCTGGAGGAGAGAAGGTAGAGGAGTCTTTCAGGAGGATCTATAATCAAGGATGGGCAAGTGTTGTTAAATCCAGCGTACCCAAGACTAGGGGAACGCAGCTAAAATATGAAACCATCCTTGTTATTCATATGTTTTTTCAGTTTTTTAAGATCATCAGATTTTCTGCCCTTCACTGTTTCTCTGTGTGCAATTTAAAAAGGGGATAACACCTTGTCACATTGTTATACAACAAAACTATCTATGATGCAGTTGTGTCAGATGTCATGTTTAACACTTTAAAATAATGGCTCAATGTCCCATTTGGCATCTTTTGCATTCTAAACAATATTTAGTCCAATAAAAAAAAAAAAAATTCCATGAGATAATCTGATGGGATCCTCTGATGCGATCGGATTAATAGAAAGTGGTGAATGTCTAAATAGAAGACAAGTTTTGAAAGTATATCCCATGACTGTATACTGAATGTGTGTATGTATCCATTTTTCCTGCTCAACTTTGAGGACAAAATGTTCCCTTGTTATCACAGTGTTATTCACTTCACCTGTCAGTGTCATAATGTCAAAACAAATTAAGGCAA